AAAAAAAAAAAAAGAAACCACTGCCTAACCCAGAGTCACAAAGATTTACCCATTTTTTTCCTCATAGTTTTAGAGTTTTAGGTCTTTGATCAATTCTGAGTTAATTTTTGGAAATGGCATAAGGTGAGGATCCATCTGTTTCCTTCTGCACGTGGAAATCCAATTGTACCAGCACCATTTATGGAATATACCATTTTTCTCCATCAAATTGTCTTGACACCATTGTTGAAAATCAGTTAACTGTATTCATTTATGGACTCCCCATTCTGTTCTGTTCATTTGTATGTCTGTCCTGATGCCACTATTACACTGCCTTGATTATTGTAGCTTTGTAGTAAGTTTTGAAACCAGGTAGTGTGAGTCTTCTGACTTTTTGTCTCCCCCTGCCTTTCCTCAAGATTGCTTGGGCTATACAGGGTCTCTTTTGTTCCATAAATTTTAGGGTCAGCTTGTCAATTTCTTAAAAAAGAAAGAGTTGGCTAAAATTTAGATAAGTGGGCAACGCCCATGGCTCAAGGAGTAGGACACCGTTCCTATATACCCGAGGTGGTGGATTCAAACCTAGTCCCAGCCAAAAATAATAATAAAATTTAGATAAGGGTACTGTGGTGTCACAGATCACAGCAACCTCCAACTCTTGGGCTTAAGCAATTCTCTTGCCTCGGCCTCCCAAGTAGCTGACTATAGGTGCCCACCACAATGCTCGGCTATTTTTTGTTGCAGTTGTCATTGTTGTTTAGCTGACCTGGGCAAGGTTCAAACCTGCCACCCTCGGTATATGTGGCTGGCACCATAACCACTGTGCTATAGGTGCTGACCCTTTTTTTTTTTTTTTCCAGACAAAGTCTTGATCTGTTGCCCTTGGTAGAGTGCCATGACATCACAGTTCACAGCAACTTCAACAAACTCTTGGACTCAAGAGCTCCTCTTGCCTCAGTCTCCCAAGTAGCTGGGACTTTTGGTGCCCACCACAGTGCTTGGCTCATTTTAGAGATGGGGTCTTGCTCAGGTTTGTCTCGAACTCCTGAGCTTAAGCAGTCCACCTGCCTGGGCCTCCCACAGTGCTAGGATTACAGGTGTTATT